CCAGTGTATCACACAGAGGAACAAGTGGCATAAAAAGCCTAGTTCAAGCATTTGTCTATTCAGTAAGCAATAATGGAAACCCTTAGCTTAGTCATCATTACTTCCATATAAGCATCTTCTTCAATAACTTTTTTTAGATAATGAAAACTCACTCTTTTAAACATCAAAGCTCTCAGTTTAAAATTTCTATGAAATTAACTGAATATTCCTACTACCTCCATGCGAATTAAAATACATTGGCCTGACTTTTCTCATACCAACTGACTTGGAAGGACTACACTTTTTGAAGTGTGTGTGTGTGTGTGTGGTACACATGTATTTATATGCATATATGTTTTAAGTAGTGTTCAGTACCCTCACTCACTGTCAAGGTCTTCATTTTTTTTTTTTTTGCCTTACTTTATAGTAAACTCACTGTAATTTGTATTTTTTGTGAAATTATTTTCTGAACAACAGCTGTGATTTTCCTGGAAGTACAACAATATTTGTGTATGTGGATTAACTTAATATGTCAATTCAATCATATTTATGACATTTTTATGTCACTTACAATAACATTTTTACAGTCATTGGCTGTATAATAAAGATGATATTGATTACAACAACATCTAATCTTTGCTCTGTGCCATGCTTTGTGTTAACCACTTTACATGTGAAATATAATTAAACCATCATTACAATCTTTGAGGTATTACATTATCATTACAAGTCTTTCCCACACATGGGAAAACTGAAGCAAAAGACATTAAGTCAATTTTTCAACTTCCTACAGAAGTAGTGACAAAGAGATAAAACAACCCAAGATAGATTATTTGAGTGTAAAGACTGTTTTCAACAAATTTCAAATGATGAATATTTGTTATTATTAAACATAATTTAAATAGTGACTTCACACTTCACGATAGTTGAAGCTTATCTATACAGTGGTGTGTTTTTTTTTTTGCAGATGAAAAGTGTTTCTTTATAACTGTTTCACATTGATATAATAGGATAAAAGGTAATAAATACAATATGACCCTGTATTATAGACAAACAATTAAAACAAAAATATTAAGCATCAGATACCAAGTGCTAAGAGAGAGCATGTCTACCAACCTCATTTATGTTTCACACAAGAATTACTCCACTTTAGAATCAAGAAAACTGGGCTCAGAGAGCTAGAATTTGAACTCTGATTTTTTTTAAAATTTTAGTGATGTTTCCTGCAACCCAAAATATCTAAAACATTATCTTCAACATGTAACCACTGCAAATTTATTAATCCATTTATTTTCATGACTAAGTCTTTGAAATAGGGTCTGGATTTTATACATGTAGCATCTCAGTTGAACTCACTCTGTTTTAAGAGTGTAGCTGACATCTATGGCCAGTGGGCATTATACTGGACACCACAGGTATTATACCTTACCCACATGCAGTCAACACAGAAATTTTATATGCTAACCTGGATCTTTACCAAGTTAAGCAGGAAGGTTAGCATGATTTTATAATGTTAAAGGACATGCTACATAGACATATTTGAAGAAAATGATATTGTTTAGTCTAGAAAAGGCAAGCCTTAACAGTGACATGATTAACTATTACATAAAGTTAAGGAGCGACATGAAGAAGCTCCACACTTGCTCTGAGTCTTTACTAACAAAATAAGGAAGAGTTAAAAGTGCTTTTCAGCTGATTACAAGCTTCCTTATTATGACCCTATGCTGATGAAATAATTATTTTCTGGTCCATTGAGGCTATAAAAAAACATTTTGTGGTTTTACTTTATGAACACTAAGTTACAACTTTGGTCACATGGGCAAAAATGAAATAACAAGTTTCCGGACTTAGGTTGTCCCCAGTTACAACCCCACTTTCACATCATGCCTGACTCACTTTGGGTTTGGGGTTCTCTGTTGGTATTTGGCTACGGAGAAGATCCCTTTATTATCTGTGAGTTTAACTATGCCTTTATTATGTTTTATTTAGAATTTCTAGGCTCTTGTATTAGAAGGGATTTTAGGTTGCCAATTCTGACATGCTTCCAGAAGCATCGAAATGAAATTTCTTGACAAGAGATTCTAGAGAACCATAAAACGCATTTTGTCTAGAAGTGAAATTTATAATTATTATCAGAAGAAGTTAGTCCAAATATACAGATGACTAGTGATCAGACAATGTTCTAGTTAATAATGGACTTTTTTTTTTTTCAGGGAAATATTTATAAGGATCCTAAAACAGCTCAAGAAGTCCTGGTTGATTTGAAAGGCTGAAAGTGCCTTACTAGTTCAGCTGTACAGTGACCATGAACCACCATTCCTACTCAAAGTTTATAATGTTACACTTATTTTAACCAAAATTTTAATACACAATCTTTTCTGAGACTGAATTAATATTGTTAGTAATGCTCAGCTTTCAAAGTTGTTTTTTTATTGCAATATTGCAGCCAGTTTCAGCCTTTTAGATTTGATAAAATATACTTCATGATTAATTGATCTTGACATCTTTGGTTCTCATTGGATAATTCTTATTCAGTGTGCTTCCACGTTCTTCGTACAGCTAGATTAATTTCTTTCTATCACTTACTATATGCTAGAACAAAATTATATGTTAAAGCACAGAGTCAGCACTAAGGTCCAACTATATGCAACATCCCTCACTTATAAAATGGGAAGCATGCATCATCTTCCCGTTTCACAGGATGATGATGAAGATTAGTGTAAAAACAGCCTTTTAAAACTTTATAAATAAGTGAGGAAGAAGCTCATTTTTTATTCTTTAAACAGATTTTATATTAATAAAACAAAGACAAGCATTTTATATAAGATACTTTATAATTTCTTAGTGCACCCATTTAATATTTTAGCCAATGCAAAATTTTGCTTTTTCCTTTGAGCTGATTTGAGCTCTAATAATCACACAATGGACAAAATATTTGATGGTTCCCAATATGATGCTGGAATTTATTAAGCACCCAATGAAAGCAAGCATTTCTTTATAAAATCTTTTCTTAGATGAAAGGGTGATGGTAAAACTTAGAAAAGAAAGAAAAAAAAAACGTACGCATTTAAAAGGTGAATTGAGTATCTTTTACCAGCGTTTACAAGGTGTATCACATGCCTATTTACAAAAGTAAGGAAACTGTCAGTTTGATGAAGTACGACTCACAACTCATTAGTGTTGAACACAGAAGAAGTATTCCACATCAAAAATGACTGCTGAAATATTCACAATTACCAGCTGCTCAGAAACCATTTTATATGGATAAAAAACATGTCACATTTAATTTATCAGATGCTTTCTACTGTCATACTTTTCTTTCGTTCAATGTACTGAAAAGTTATAAAAACAACCTCAGTCTCACTGTAGCCATGTATAGACATTAAGAATAACACAAATCCATTATCTACTACAATATAATTGTCTCTACATGGATGAATAATCTTCTGCAGCTTCTTTGCTCTCAATTCTGAATTAAATATTCCTTTAAAGATATCTGAAGCCACAGCATTCAGTATCTCTATTAGAAAACTACCATCCCAATATAAAGAAAAACCAAATTCATTCCTATAGCTATATTTCTTGAATGAGTGGGCATCATGGGCCCATTTCTATAGTGACTACAATGGGAAACATCATCAGAAAAATAATGTCATATTAATTTTATAGCAACACTGAAACAAACCTAATATACATGCAAACCCTTGTGGAAAAAAAATAGTAGTGTTCTAGCTTCCATTGTAATTCTGGTATATACGATTAAAGTAAAAATAGAATAATTGAACTAGTTCTTTTCAAAGATTATCAGATCCCAGACATAGTCAACTACTATACCATATTAACTTTAGAAAGCCAAATAATAAGCAAAGTAAAACAACCACACACACACATACTCCACACTATAATTATCCACAAATAAAAGCAAATGAGCAAACAGACAGTAATTCATATTAGGTGTCAGTCTCAAATTTAATCCATTGCAAACTTAGTATTCAAATAGTGTCATACAGGTTCCTGGTCTGGCTAAGTGTGTAGAGAGCATCATTTCTGCCTCACTG